AAATTAATGTATTGATGTCAATATCGAAATATTTGCTATATGATTGTATATGAACACATTTAACATTAATAATATACCAATAATTGCCCAATAACATATGGAATTGATAACGGGCTAAAATATTTTAAAACAAATTATGATCTAAAAATATTATGCTATTTTAATATAATACATAATACATGTTTCAGTTGATTTAATGTTTTATGTACATAAACATGTACAAATACAGGGAGATATCAATAAAGGTCTGAAATACTCCTAAACGTTCATCCAGTAATTATGAATGCGTCAAATTAACAGTCACAACAATAACGCGTCAGGCTGTACTTGACAATGACACACCTTACGAGTTTCTTTGTCAACAAGTAAGGGTTAGTATCTTGGACATGCATTAAGGTACTTATATCAACTTTTAACAGACGTGCGTGTCTCGAATTCCTTGAATTGGCTGTATGGCAGTGTGAACCATGGAATAGTTTTAATGGTTTGACAATCGACCGTGCAGCAATATACATCTACAATATACTTCATCGCTATTTAGACCCGTTAATCCGACAGCCTCGCACTCCCGACATCGACACACCGAATTTGCAACGAACCACTGAAATCACTTATTAATTAGTCTCGTTAATCCGACACGGTGATCAACGTACTCCGTGGTCATCTGCCCGCGAGTACACAGACACGTGTTTTGATGCGAGACGAGTCGGCGAGTAGCTGCATATTTCAACGGCTGCAGAGATAAACTTGCTTAACAATAAACAACTACTGCTTTCAATAAACAAAACAGGATTAATCACATGCCTCGATTACCTCATTCTTATTAAACTCTTATACAAAATCTCGCAACCGCTGTGTACTTTACAGGTCACGTCAGAACGACCTTCCGCGAAGTTTGACCGACCAATCAAATTACTAACAGGAAGTCGACACAAGCCACTATGAACTGAAAGCAGCTTTCTAAGCATTTGCGGCACTAAAGTACTCACGGAAATGAAAAAAACCCTGGTTTTTTCGATCTCAGATTTTAAATAAATGCAGTTAATATACAAAATATATAAATATTCAAACAACTCAATTAGTACTAATTGGGCTTTGGCACAAATACAGCGTATCAAAGGTTTTTATATCTTTTTACACGTAGACTGTTGTGAAACTGAGCATAACCAGGTGTTTGAAGATCAAGGTGAATGTCCATGACCTATGACACCTTGACGACAGGTAAAAACAGGTGCTTGAAACCCACGTGCATGTGATTTGTCAGTGGTTAGTGATTTGTCAGTGGTTTTATTTTTGAATGTTGAAAGTGCCTACAATTACCTCCTGTAAAGTACATTTTGTATTGAGCACTGAGATAAAACTAGCAAATCAAGACTAGTACTTTTCCAGTTGTTTTGTTATTTCGTATTTACATCTACGTAATGCTTTGTGTCGATTATTAAATCCAGCAAAACAGTTTTTTTCCATTTCCATGAGTACTTTAGTTTCAAATTGCCGACTTGCATTCCCAACTATGCCTTATAAAGTATTTTAAGTCAGACATACAGTCCGTATCAGTAGTTTTTGAAAACGTATTCCGCTAACATTGTAACATAACAATATGATTATTTCCTTTTTTATTACGAGTTTGAATCGTTATCGATCGTGTAGTTGTCCGATTTTCGATCACGAACGTTAAAACAACCTAATTTCGTTTATAATAAATAACGGTAGAAACGTTGAAACATACATGTAAACGCGCGCGCACTGAATATCACAGGCAACATTGTGTGTAGAAAAACATACTGTCCAAGTTAGCCAATGGAATTTATGCCCGGGTAAAAATATTTGCATAAAGCGAATTCCGACCTGTCGACAACGGACAAGTACGTAAACCATCTGTCTTGTCATTGAATAAGATCATGTTTTCTTCCCCATTTATATTTATACTTAATGTTATTATTCTTGCAATTGCTATAGTGTAAATTATAGCTTATTCAACAGATTGTTGCCATAACACGCGCAATTGAACTTGCAACAAACACCCACCTGAAACACGTGGTGCTCTTTGTGATGCTGATGTATCCCATAATTATTATTGTTCGTGTTCACTAATAAATGGAGCTGTTGATGACATCTGAACATGATTTCAGAATGAACATATATATTTGGTGGGACTAAATATTTCATAAAGCAAAGAAACAAGACAACAGGCGTACGGATTTCTTCCGTTGACTTTTATTTCTAACATCCTCAAATAAACGATCAAAACGATATGCCTTAACTGTTCCATGACGTGGATGAAATAACTAATCAGCTGCTACCGTATTTTCTTGAGTATAGTGCGCAATATTTGTCAAAAAAACATAGCTGTGTAGAAGAGGGTGCGCAATATACACGAAATAATGACTTTTGATGATTTTTTTTCCCCCCATGGAAAGATATTGCCGTGGCACGTAACACCGGAAATACCATGTCAACAATTCCATACTAAAGTACGCAAATTAATAATGTAATTACACTGTCTGGCTATAAAAAGTGTTGTTTTTTTATATCTGGACTTATGTATGTAACTTATTTCATTAATTCTATTCAAAATTCCTTTAAATATTGTTTTAATTAATTTCGGCGAAGGGAGCGGAAGATCGCGCAACTCACCTTTTATTAACAGCGACCACGGTCAGATTACCGCTATTGACGCCTTGAAACGAACTTTAATTGACAGAGAATGGATACATATATCATAAATGCCATACTTTGACTCGTTAAAAGTCATATTTGTTATAGTTTGACGATTCTATGTCAACACGTAATTCTCGCGATCACGTGCGCGAGAGGCTTGACGGTGACTGGTCAGACTGGTTCCATGTGAAAAATTATTACCCGGCAATAGCGATAAGCTGCTTCGCTTAGGGTTATTATTATTTAAAATATGTTTAGTAAAAGCTGCAACTAAATTAACAAGATATTGGGATATATTATTACTGATAAAAAATAGTTTCAGATACAATTTTTGCCGATCCTTGCATTAAAATACTGTAAAGTTATATATCATTGGGTGTGTCTTGACCGTATCACCGGTAGATTCCAAGAAAACGTGTGTACAGCTGATAGCTGTGTCCGGCTTAGTTTACGAGAAAATACACAAGGTAATCTTAATCCCTGGATGTAAAACAATGCCTGGCAGAACAAAAAATACAATTTAAACGGTAAATAAATTTGTCTGGTGATTTTTTATCTCAAATTTTGAATTTGTACTGACCAAGTTTCTCATCACCCGTTCGTTTACCGGAATTCGCTGAAGGGGTAGATCTACAGTGTAATTTATTTCTGCACTTGACATTCGATTTTTTCCCCTAAAATACTGAATCTGCTAGAGGGGGTTGCGCACTATACTCAAGAAAATACTGGTAATTGATATAGGAAATACCCACACACTTGTGTGAACTCTCAACATCTACTGAATGTCGTATTGAATCGTAGACCATTCATTGTGTGCTATGATGAATAGATAAACCACTAAACTCGTGAAGTTCACGTAATAATTTTCAAACAATCCTGATAGTGCAACAAGTTAATTTTAAATCACACACATTCAAGTACACACACGTCTTTCCATGTATCCACATTCACCCGCTGACCGCACAGGCCACAGACACCTAAACGAGCCTCCTGGTGGTAATGAAGGCCGGGAATCAACCAAGCGCTAACGATGAAGTGACACCAATACACAGGACATTCAAAGTCCTTTTACACGCGCTTCAGTGACTTTGCCCACGCACGCGAAAAACCGGGTCCTGCAGTAGGAATTGAAAATCCACATCCCAGAGAGGCCACCCTGACTGGCAATATTCCAGCAATATCATGGCGGGGGTCATCAGAAATGGGCTTCACACATTGTACCCATGTCGGGAATCGAACCCGGGTCTTCGGCGTGACGAGCGAACGCTTTAACCACCAGGCTACCTGACCGCCCAGAGAAAGAGAGAGAGAGAGGAATATAGGAATGTATATATTTATTGCACACAATGAAAACAATGTTCGATGATGATTTTATTGTTGTCTAAATACACAAAATGTGTAGTTCCTTAATCATATTTACATTATTAATGATTGTCCAGGTCATATAAATAATAATGTTTATTTAGCATTTATTAGGGAGAATTCATATAAAATATTTTAATAAAACAAAAATTAAACAAAGACTTTTTCTAAATAAAAATATAATCATTGACAAATTATCTAAAGTTTTCTTCAGCAGGTTTGGTTCAAGAGACCCATTAAAGTGAAAAAAGTTAATAGTAATGTTAGACTTACAATGAAATGGCTGAACAAATCGTCAAAAACTTAATATGGATCTTACAAAATATATTCTGATATCAATACAAAAATAGAAAATTATTACAATGCCTTGAAAAATATATTTGTACCAAAATCACAGACAAAAGAGGTGTTATGTCGTCTGCTTTAGGGTACTCTAAACTGTGAATATATGACGAAAATGTGGGTTAGCGCCAAAAATCATAAAAAAATAAATACCGATGGTAGCAAAATAAGGGTGGTACCAAGCCACGGAGGAAATCGTGACGAATTTAAACATATTTATTTCAATACCGCAAATAGAAAAAACATTAGTCTGAACGCATGCGAAAATTAAGTGTTGTGGTGTAATTATTTCGGGAAAAGTCAGATTTAGTGTCATTTCCACAGTCAAAATCAGACATAACGCGACTGCCACAGATTTAATAATACCACTAAGCCACCTTTTGACATATCTGCTTTGCACACAACTTGGTAACTAAGGACTTTTATTGATATTTAGTGGCCGTTATTGAAAGCCAAAATACGCACTTTTCCCGAATTTACATGTTCGCCATTTTGCTCACACGAACAACAACAAAGCGTGACCATTTCATCGAATACAATAACAACGATATGCTTTAGCGCATCAACAAATCTCAGTCGTAATGTTGACAATGTTACGAAATACGTGAGCATAAAAATATATTTTGAAATCTTACCTTTGTATGGTAAAAAAGGCGACTACGATGACTGCAGTGAACACACGTTTTCGCTCGCTTCCGGACAGGCTGCGCAGTACAAACCGTAGCGCTGATGGTTTCGCGCATTGGCTAGAGGGCCGTCCCTCTATTATATGGTCTCTGCCTTGAGCCATTCATCAACATAGTTGTGTTCCATCACCACCGCCATCACTCCAATCTGTAACCTTGCACAGAATTTCTCATGCACTCGAGAGTTGTTTGATTGGACAGCCTTTTTATAGCAATGCGTACATTGTTTTTTTTTATCATTTTATAAATGGACCTATAAGCCATAATGTAATAAATTATGTGTTATTCACAGCCATAATGTTTAGGTTTTACTGTAGATGAAGTCAAAATTTAGAAAAGAATATTGTTTGGGTTTCCATCCACAGAACTTGCCATCTAACACGGCTAGGACCCAGTTTGCTGACACAGCAATAATGAGTTACCGTTGACCCATTCCAGTGATGTGGCAACATGTTTCATGAAATTATCAATGTTCTTCAAATACACAACTTAAATATAAAACAAGATCTATTTAGAGGATGGGTGTGTTTAGCCAAACTTTTATTTTGCATACCATTAACTTACTTGTGTTGGTCTATGACAGTAATAATGTGACTGTCATGGACTCAAATTTGTATTTTACAAAGGCAGATTATGGCCAGAATTTATTGTTCTGACAGCTAATACACTGAGGGACAAAATTAAGTGAACATCATACAGGGAAGCATATGGTTGGTGACATAACATATTTCTGCTATATGATGGTGGTCTGTAAATAATCAAGTCTGGACCAGACAATCCAGTGATTGGCATCATGAGCATTGATCCATGCAAATGGGATACGATGACATGCATCAACCAAGTAACTGAGCCTGACTATCGAGCAGAGTTTGTTTGTTGTTTAAAGCCGCACTCAGCAATATTCCAGCTATATGACAGCTGTCTGTAAATAATCAAGTCTGGATCAAATAATCCAATCATTGCTTGGCAATTTTGCCTTTTATGGCAAGCATATATTATTAGGTATGAATGCAGGCAATGATATCATATTCAGACTGTATGGTGATGTTGATTCTTGTGTACAGTTTACTTTTTTAATTAAATATCATGAGAAAAGAGACAGCTTTTGGATTCTGTTTTGATATATTTGTTTATCAGTTTTAACTGCACTTTTCATCAGGATGATATTAATCCATATTATATTGAACAAAAATGTTATGGATCAAGAAAAATTTCTATATGTGAAATATGAAATTATGTTCTCAGCCTTCGCTATATAGGGGCGGTGGAGTAGCCTAGTGGTTAAAGCGTTCACTCGTCATGCCCACCCGGGTTCAATTCCCCACATGGGTACAATGTGTGAAGCCCATTGCTGGTGTCCCCTGCTGTGATATTGCTGGAATATTGGTAAAAGCGGCGTAAAACCCAAACTCACTCACTCACTCACTCACTATATAGCAGGGCGTGGAGTCATCCCACAGATGACATCATTACCTTGTCAGCTTGCTGATGGGGTTAACCTCTTTGGTCATGTGGACAAGGCGTCCAACCTCAGATCAGAAGGCCTGTGGTTCGAATCTCATTATGGGACTTGGAAATTTTATAGCCGCTACAACTGCAAGAATCTGATCCTTAACATGTTTTGTACAGTATATTTCTGATATATTTTAAGCAAATAGATGATTTTTATTTTGATCATGTGTTAATTCAACTTACTTCTTTTTTTAAGTACTATGTGTCAAATGGCATTGTTTAATGTTAATTTATTATGTATGACAAATATGCTTTCTATAATAAAAACATCCTCTATGAAACTGAGTATATTATCATGATCTTCTTAACACATTTTCTTTCATGATCAACTCTATAATGGTCTGCATAGATTCTAAATGCTCTGACAGACAATCAGAATGCAAAAAGGTCATGGTAGATTTTACCAAAAGACGTTAAAAGATGGTTCTTGTTGTGACCCTGTCTGGCGCTCGGCATTAAGGGGCTTAAACAAGGACTGGTCGGCTCGGAGTCAGTATACTGTGTCTGATTGGGTTATTCGTGTTAAACTGCGGTATCTCCGTGAGCTAGCACTATCCAGACTAGTACAAGCAGACGCACACACACACTATGCCACCGCAAAACTTATTTTCACAGTTGAATCAATGTCATGCAACATTGTTCTTGTCAAAACCATTCCTTGCCACAACCAGAAAAAGGCATGTTTCAGTTACCTCAATTATTTTGTGAAATATTATTATGGTTACGCAGGGGTATTGCTTTCCAGTACAGCTTAATCTAACACTTCGACCAGTTGCTGTAACAGTAAGCCTTTGTAAAAGTATGGCAGTTACGATCACCTTAGTAACCTATGTTAACATATGGCACTTACGATCACCTTAGCGCTGATGTGATAGTAAGCCTATGTTAACATATGGCACTTACAATCACCTTAGCGCTGATGTGATAGTAAGCCTATGTTAACATGGCAGTTACGATCACCTTAGCGCTGATGTGATAGTAAGCCTTTGTTAAAGTATGGCAGTTACGATCACCTTAGTACTATTGTGATAGTAAGCCTATGTTAACATATGGCACTTACGATCACCTTAGCGCTGATGTGATAGTAAGCCTATGTTAACATATGGCACTTACAATCACCTTAGCGCTGATGTGATAGTAAGCCTATGTTAAAGTATGGCAGTTACGATCACCTCAGTACTACTGTGATAGTAAGCCTATGTTAACATGGCAGTTACGATCACCTTAGCGCTGATGTGATAGTAAGCCTTTTTTAAAGTATGGCAATTACGATCACCTTAGCGCAGATGTGATAATAAGCCTTTGTAAAAGTATGGCAGTTACGATCACCTTAGCGCTGATGTGATAGTAAGCCTATGTTAACATATGGCACTTACGACCACCTTAGCGCTGATGTGATAGTAAGCCTATGTTAATCGGGAATCGAACCCGGACCTTTGGCGTGACAAGCGACCGCTTTAACTACTGAGCTAACCACCAAAAATTCATGTAATTTGAGAACACCCTATAAACAATGTTTAAAAAATCTTGTTACAAAACGACCAAAGTGATAGGAAACTACCGGCTCCTAAATAACAAGGGGTAGCAGCTACATGAATAGGGTGACGTTACCACCCAAACATGCTCCGATACATCAACTGCCCTTCGTACATTACAACAAAATAAAAATGTGATATTTAAAAAAGTAGTACATTTAGCACAACCAGTGTTTTGAATTACCCCCTAAATAAAAGTGACAAAAACCATTTCCATAACCTTATGACATCACTGCTCAACGCAGAGTCCATTTATACGAATCCGACTGCATTATAAACATGGCTGTGTTTATGAATCACTATCAAATAGTAACACCAGGTGTTCGCAAAAAATGAGCATATCCTGCTACATCGGTGGCACCCATCCCACACACATGCAAAGGCAAGTCAACCGTTCACCTTAAAAAACAGGAACATATGGAACAAGTCAAGCCTTACATTCTACTAGCCCTCGGCATGCCTTTGAAAATAAATCAAACTGACTAAGGGTGACAGATTAATGCCAATTTACATCCCAATTCACAACCTATATGGACTGTGGGACGTGTTCCTCTGCTAGATTACTACCAGGAACTGTTATGTGTAATCTGCAAAGCCAACAGCACTGACACGTTTCTTACAACATGGTGCCGAGTGATGACATTATCAAACTTGCAGATGATGTAGTTTGTAATCCACCTGGAAGAAATAGCAATGTTGAAAGATATTAGTCGCCTCTTACGGGATCAGGTGGTCAGGCTCGCTGACTTGGTTGATGCATGTAATCGCTCCCAATTACGTGGATCGATGCTCATGATATTAATCACTGTCTGGTCCATACTCGATTATCTACAGACCACCGTCACATAGCTGGAATATTGCTGAGTGCGGCGTTAAACAACAAACCAACCAACCTACATTAGCTTACACGCCGTGATATAACTGGAATACTGTTAGAAGCGGCGTTAACACAATTCACTCACACACTCAAAGACATGGCTTGCGGAAGAGTCAATAATTCTCATCAGACAGAATAAAGCACTTGTTGAAGGAGGGGGATTTTACTGCCTCTTAATGTGTGTGATTATTTTGTGAAGCGTTCCTAAACGTACCGTAGACATGTTGAATCCACTTGTGTTACATTTTCTCTGCAACTCGTGAAAAATAACACCTATCGTGAAAATAAAAAAACCCACAAAACTATCAGCTTACCATTCAGTTGTTTGTGAACAGAAATAACAACAATACTGAAGTTGTAGTTCCATCTACGAGTTGCATTTGTAATGTACCCACAACAAGTCAGGGGGCCGTCGGGTAGCCTGATGGTTAAAGCGTTAGCTCGTCACGCCGATGACCCGGGTTCGATTCCCGACATGGGTACAATGTGTGAAGCCCATTTCTGGTGTCCCCCGCTGTGATATTGCTGGAATATTGCTAAAAGCGGCGTAAAACCATACTCACTCACTCACAAGAAGTCCGGATGCTATATACCCGTATTGCTACCCTGTGGGTTGTCGCTGCACTTGCACCGGCATGTTGAGTATACGTGCCACACCCTCATGAGATATTTGAATTTATAGCTTTTTGTCTAAAATGTTCATTTGGAGAAATCAACTTCGATTCCCGGGGTACAATGTGCGAAACCCATTTTCACCCTCATATATATTGCTGAAATATTGCTAAAAGCGGCGTAAAATTCTACCATGATTTTTTTATAAAATCACTCGACTTTGATTGGTCAATCAGAGGTTTTATACCACAATAAACCCCTCTGATTGAAACAGCCGGTTTGACGGCCGCATTACAAGGGAAGCTAATATTCATAAAACAGTGCTGCTTTTACAGTCATTGTCGGTAGACATATTTATATTATTGTATGTATAAGTATAGGTTATGCAGTTGCTGATACTACAATAGTCAAAGGATGTGTTACAATACACACTGTGCCGAAAACGCTATAGACATCTACAAAGAATGTATTTCAAG